CTCGCTGGGGTTAGCCGGTTTTATCACAAGGCCGACGATATACAAACGGAGCCTCATCTTTTGTGCCCCTGACCTAGTCCCAGATTTTGAGTGGTCTGTTCTGGATGGCCGTACGGACCATTTCCCAATTCTTCTTAAAAAAACAATTGCCTCCAAAACGACCAAGCCCAGAACGCTTCAACTTCAAAAGAGCAGACTGGAACGGGTTTGCCAATCAATGTTCCCAGATTCTGAACCCCACTTTCGACCTCAACTACAATAAATTCCACGAAAAGCTTTTAGAAATATGCCAAAAACATATACCAAAAACAAAAATAAAAACCTCGGAGGAACAAGATCTGGTTCTCTGAGGAATGTGTGGATGCAGTAAAGAAAAAGAAGGCAGCGTATTGAAAGGCCGTCAACACCACCACCACAGAAAACAAGATTAATTATTTAAAGGCTCGAGCTGTGGCTGAGGGAGAGCCAAAGACAATCATTAAAAAAATACATCTCCAAAATCAACAGCCAGACACCACTCAACCAAGTTTTCAAAATTGCTAAAACATTTTTGGGAAGACGCACAGACACCATTCGGCAGATCCAGAGGCCGGATGGAACCACAGCTGAAACACAAGTAGACATCGCAAACAAAATAGCTACATCTCTTGCCAAAAACTCATCCCAAGCAAACTACAACACTACTTTCCAAAACATCAAAACTAACAGAGAACAACAACACCTAAACTTCCACTCAAACAACACTGAAACCTGCAACGCAGACTTCACAATAGACGAACTAACATCGTGCATCTCGGACCTGGGAAATGCAGCCCCGGGACCGGATGACATCCACAACCAGATCATTAGATACTTACGTTCAGAAACACTTACACTCCTACTAGACATATACAACGACATGTGGCGGTCGCACTCCTTTCCGGAGTCTCGGCGTCTCGCCACTGTCATTTCAATACCCAAACCAAACAAAGACCACACACACCCGTCCAATTAATTACAGACCAACAGCACTAACAAGCTGCCTGTGCAAACCTATTGAAAAAATGATTCACAGGCGACTCATGTGGTCTCTGAAGACGACGGGCTCACTGAGCGGTCTCCAGTGCGGATTCAGGAAAACTCGATCCACTCTGGATCACTAGGTCCGCCTGGAGACCTTTATACGCGAGACGTTCGCTGAAAGAGGCCACATGATCGCCATCTTTTTCGAACCTAAAAAAAGCTTTCGACACAACCTGGAAGTACGGCATTATCCGAGACCTGCACACACTCGGCATACGCGGTCACCTCCCTTCCTTCACTGGCAACTTCCTGAAGAACTGTTCCTTCCAGGTCCGTGTCGGATCCTCCCTTTCAGACCATTACCAACAGGAGGAAAGAGTCCCCCAGGGGAGCATCCTTTCCCCTCTCCTATTTTAAATCAAAATAAATTCCATCGTAAAAACCCTCCTAAACAGCATAGACAGCTCGTTATACGTTGACGACTTTCTGATATGCTGCCGTTCGAAAAAGCCTCATCTGAGATCTATGGAAAGGCAGCTACAAACGCAGCTGCACAAACTCGAAAAGGGGGCAAACAATAACGGTTTCAAGTTCGCCGAACAGGCAGACGTGTGCTGCAACCGGATTTGACATTATACGGGGAAAGGATTCCCGTCCACGCCCAAGCTCGTTTCCACGGCGTTATATTCGACAAAAAACTCACATTCATACAACACATCAAAGACTCTTAACCGAATGTCTACACTTTGGAGAGATCCAAAGGAAATATTATAAATGCAAGAAATTGCAAGACATTTTTTTTGTCGTTGGTCCCAGCAGAATTTT